CCACTAAGGTTGCGGCAGCCCTAGGAAGGACCACTAAGGTGTGGCAGCCGTAGGAAGGACCCACTAAGGCGTGGCAGCCCTAGGAAGGACCACTAAGGCGTGGCAGCCGTAGGAAGGGCCCACTAAGGTGTGGCAGCCCTAGGAAGGACCCACTAAGGCGTGGCAGCCCTAGGAAGGACCACTAAGGCGTGGCAGCCCTAGGAAGGACCCACTAAGGTTGCGGCAGCCGTAGGAAGGGCCCACTAAGGTGTGGCAACCGTAGGAAGGACCCACTAAGGTGTGGCAGCCCTAGGAAGGACCACTAAGGTTGCGGCAGCCCTAGGAAGGACCACTAAGGTGTGGCAGCCCTAGGAAGGACCCAGCCACCTTCACCCACAAAACCCCACCACTCTTGCCGTCAACATTTCTTTCAGTGTACAGTGTGATTCCATTCAAACATCTCAAGTCAGAGGTGGTGGTGCACGCCTTTAATCCCAGCACACAGGAAGCAGAGGCATGCAGATCTCTGAGTTCAAGGCCAGCCTGGTCTACAGAGTGAGTTCCAGGACAGTCAAGACTACACGGAGAAACCCTGTCTCAAAAACAAAACATGACAAAAAACAAACAAACAAACAAACAAAAAAAAAAAAAAAAAAAAAAACAGGCAAGAACGTGCCGAGTTCCAGCATCGAGGCTCCCGTTTCTGTTGAATTTATGCTCTCTGTGTTTCATCTTCAAGTCCTTGTCAGGTCTGAGATTCTACTCAGTCCACAGTGTTTGCTTCTCTCTTTACATTGTCAAGTCATTCAAGTAATCATAACCACACCTGCGGCTCCAAATAACACCGACCTCCCAAGCTAACGCTTCAGCTTAGCCTAGCTGAAAGCCTTGGTTGTGTAGATTTCATGTTGTATGTGTGGTGTGTATAGGGTTTGTAGTGTGTATGTGGTGTGTATTGGAGTGTGTGTTTGTATAGGGTACGTAGTGTGGTGTGTGTGTGTGTGTGTGTGTGTGTGTGTGTGTGGTATGGGGAGTGTGGAGTGTGTGGTGTGTGGGTGTAGGTGTGGTGTGTTTGGGGGTGTGTGTGGAGTGTATGTGGAGTGTGTCTATGGTGTGTGTGTGTGATGTGTGGGGGTGCATGTATGGAGTGTGTGTGTGTGGTTTGTGGTGTGTGGAGTGTGTATGGAGTGTACATGGTGTGTGTGTGGAGTGTGAATGGAGTATGTGTATAGTGTGTGTAGTATGTATGTGTGGTATATGTGTGGTGTGGGGGGGTATGTGTGTGGAGTATGTGTGTGTGGTTTGTAGTGTGTGTATGGAGTATGTGTGGTGTGTATATGTGGTACGTGTGTGAAGTGTGTGTGTGTATGTGTGTGTGTGGAGTGTGTGTGGTATGTGTGAAGTATGTGTGTGTGTGTGGTGTGTTCAGTGTGTATGTGTGTGTGTGTAATGTGTGTGATGTGTGTGTGGTGTGTAGTATGTGTAGTGTAATTTGTGTGTAGTATGTAGTATGTGTAGTGTGATGTGTATATAGTGTGTGTGTGTAATGTGTGTGATGTGTGTGTAGTTTGTGTGGTGTGTAGTATGTGTAGTGTAATTTGTGTGTAGTGTGTAGTATGTGTAGTGTGTGTGATGTGTGTATAGTGTGTGTGGTGTGATGTGTGTGTGGTGTGATGTGTGTGTGGTATGTGTGAAGTATGTGTGTGTGTGGTGTGTTCAGTGTGTATGTGTGTGTGTAATGTGCGTGATGTGTGTGTAGTGTGTGTGGTGTGTAGTATGTGTAGTGTAATTTGTATGTAGTGTGTAGTATGTGTAGTGTGTGTGATGTGTGTATAGTGTGTGTTGTGATGTGTGTGTGTGGTGTGTTCAGTGTGTATGTATGTGTGTGTAATGTGTGTGATGTGTGTGTAGTGTGTGGTGTGTAGTATGTGTAGTGTAATTTGTGTGTAGTGTGTAGTATGTCTAGTGTGATGTGTGTGTGTGTGATGTGTGTATAGTGTGTGTGTTGTGATGTGTGTTGTGATGTGTGTGTGTGTGTGCATGCCAGTGGCTGACACTGGATGTCTTCCTACTTGTCCCTCCACCTTATTTTTTGAGACAGTCTCTTACTGAATCTGGAGCTCACTGCGTGGCTAGAGTTGCTGGCCAGCAAGCCCAGGGATTGCCCTGTCTCCGCAGCAGGCACCATTGAGCAGGGCTGTTTGCGTGGGTGCAGGAGATGAGCTCCAGGTCTTTACACGTGGGTGGCAATCACTTGACTCACTGAACCATCCTCCGGTCCTCCCCATGCCCTCTTGATGTAGCAGCTTAGACCTTATACAACTATCTTCATATAAGTAAATGCACCCGTACAAAACAGAACTTTAAAAAAAAGTTTTATTTACGTTATTTTACATTGTATTTATTCCCAGTCCACTTTTGTTTCTTTGGTTTTGTTGGTGACATCTTTACCTTCTCTGCAGCTTCTTCTTCTGACTTAGGGGCAAACTGTTCTTCAGTGGGAAACACCTCACTGTGTAAGGGGAGCTCATTTGTGTTCATCTGAGTAGGAGCACTCTCAACCACACCCATCTTCAGTCTTTGTTCATCTGTTCAATAAGCTCAGAATCTACAACTAGCCTGTCCCTGCACCATGCCAAAGTGGCAGTGAATTTATGAACTTCTTCTCCTTGAGCACTGCACAAATATCACTTAAATCTCTCAGCATTTGTTTCTAAAAATGTGACATAAATTCAAGATCATTATTTTGTAGTAATTAAGAGTGTATTCAAAAACTGCATCCTAGGCTCACATGTAAACCTTTGTGTCCTTTCAAACATGGGCAGCACAACCAGCACTTTTGGGGCACAGTGATGCAAGCTTGTAGTCTCAACGCTTGAGAGATGGAGGCAGCAGAATCAGGAGTTCATGGTCCTGCTTGGCTCCATAGTTTGAGGCTAGCCTGGGCCACATGAAACCATGTCTTAATCCCCACCCTGAAAAAAAATTCCTCAGCACATTCTTTGGGGTCCTGCCCCTACCTACCGAGTCCACCACGGCAGCCATGGAATGGTTCTGTAAAGTGCTGTCTTTTGCATAGTTGGCGGCTTTCTGGATAGGCACACCCGTGATGGCCTGGGTAATTTCAAGGATGTGTTGAAGGGAATATGAAGATTTGAGTCTTTTATTTTGCATGTGGTCCTCTGCACTAGGTAAACACTGAACCACTTTCAGAGAGAGTACTTCAGGCTGCTTATGTGAAGAGCAGGACACAGAACTTCTGATGGTCAGGAAACACCACTTCTGTAGCCATAACAAAGTCCTTTCTGCCGTGGGTGTCTGCGCCCAACACACTTTCTCTGTTAAAGCCTTTTTTTTTTTTTTCCCCCAAGACAGGGTTTCTCTGTGTAGTTTTGGTGCCTGTCCTAGATCTTGCTCTGTAGACCAGGCTGGCCTCGAACTCACAGAGATCCGCCTGGCTCTGCCTCCCGAGTGCTGGGATTAAAGGCGTGCGCCACCACCGCCCGGCTGTTAAAGCCTTCTTGAGCTAAGCAAGTCTTACACTTTACTGTCTACAGTGCGCCCTAACCCATCATTTCTCTTTATAGTTACCATCATTATCCTGGACCCACAAGGCTACACCCCACCCCCACCCCAAGATAGGGTCTCACTGTGTAGCTCAGGCTGGCCTTGAACTCACAGAGATCTTCCTGATTCTGCCTCCTGAGTGCTGGGATTAAAGGCGTGCGCCACGAGGCCTAGCTTCTTTTGTGGTCTCCCGCAGTGGCTTGCACGGGATGCTCTAGACAGCAGCTGCCATGCTGCTCCAGCGGAGCAGATGGTTCCACAAACCTAGCCAAAGCCCTTCAGAGCACAACTCTGCGAGCCCTCGCATGACCTGGTCCTTTCTCCTGTCTCTCTGCCTCTGCTCCACCGATAAGAGACTCGCTTGGACCGAGTGGACTCATGAAGCTTTTCCTGTCTCGGGTGACGTCTGCCTTCTACCTTTTCCTCATAGAGAACTCCCAACATGGAAAACCCCTCCATGTTGTACCAGCTTCTGCTGTCCTTTTCTCTGTCACGTAGCTCAGTCCTTCCCACCATAGCATTTGCTACAATCTGTTATTACACACTGGACCATGTGTTATTTGCTTTCTCTCCAACTGAGCTGCCTCTAGAAAATAGCTGGGCTTCTGTCTATTTCTTGGAGAAAAAAAGAGCATAGCTCAGGGACAGGCACAGAGGTGGCTCTGTAAATATCTGCTCAATGAGTTCACCATCTTCCACCCCATGGTCCTCTGCCATGAATGTCCCCCTGGAAGGCTGTTTTAGTGAGAATACCTCCATTCAGAAGGAAAACAAAACATAATATCATAAAGTTTATAAAAGTCAGAAGACTTCATTTTTACAAACATATAAATTATTTTATTTACAAAGCCATGTTACAAAAAAAAAAAAAAGCAAAAAAAAAAAAAAAATACAATCGTTCAGTGGAGAATACTTCCAGACCTGGTGCTGAACCACGGCAGTATCAACAGATACATTTTTGTTCTTTCTTTTAAAAACTGTAAGCCATAGAGTTTACTATTTACACCTACTTCAGACATTTAGTTGCTTACAACATCACAGGCATGGAATGGATTCTATCTGATAGTGCTAATTCATAGAGGTGCGGGACAAAGGAGGGAACACTTAGTGTTACAAAATATGGATCCTAGAAAAGAAACCCACTCCACGAGTGTGGCCTTTGTCGAGTATGATTGGACATGCTCTCTTCAAAATTCTTCTGGAAAAGCTTCTAAAATTGGTTAGTAGGAAAGGACAAATGAACAGGTGCAAATTCTTGTCTGTGCAACAATAGTTATTTAATTTACCCCATGACTGACCAGCTACATAAAACCCACAGAGTTTTGTTAAAGTGCCATGGGCTGACAGCATAACAAAATATAAGGTGTAAATAGAAAATTTCATTTTTTCCTTTTTTTAAACAAGAGTTCACTGAGAATCAGCAATAATAGAATACGCTGTATAAACTATTTTCTACAAAGGTTGATCAGCGTTATTTACAGTTGGTACATTGATACAAAAGAAGGCATACAAGTTATCCAACTCGATTTTTTGATTTTTAAATTTTATATGGCTGACAGGTCTATGCATTGTGTTACGCTTAACATCCAGAGCTTCTGAGGTGGAGACGAGTCAGGAGCTCCTCAGGCAGACAGGGGTGTGAGCAGCCAAGGGGCCAACAGAAGGCTGATTGGGGTGTGGGGAACAGAAAGACCCGAAGATACTACTCTCCTGATGCTTTAGGGGTTGGTCCAGTTGAATTCCATGAGAACAAACACAAAGGAAATCTTTTCTTTGCATTCCATTTTCTTTTTTCCTAACTACAAGCGTTTAATACATCAGAAAGTAAACCCGGGGGTGACTGTGAAGGAAGAAATACCGTGGGTTTTCCCTTTTTGCTCAGTTTTCTGGAATTGTCCTCACCTTTTGGTCAAAGCGGTCTCTCAAGAGAGTAAGCAGCATTGGGTGGAGAGCCTCTTTATTCCAGCTTCGGATGCAGGACACAGCGTGGACGACCTGAAGCCTGCTTGCTCCCTAGTCTCTGTGAAGCCGCTGTTTCTCAGAAGCAAACATTCACCCCTCAACCTTTGTTTTCCCTCTTTGAACAGAAGAGTTTATGGGCCAGAGGCTTATTTTGTTGCTGAGACTTGTTTTGTTTTTAATCCTGCAAGTTTTACAACTCAAAATAAATTATGTATTTATATATATATATAAAAACCAACAGACATCTAAAACCAAACAAGACAAAAATTGTGCAAAAATAACAAAGATATGTACACACTTTTGAGTCTGAAGAAATGTACAATAAAAACATAATTCAAAGAACATTTTAAAAATATAAACATTGCTTAAACTTTCCTAAGTTTCATATTGTTTCTGAAACTATTCTGGTCAGTTAGCTCTGTAATATAGTAAAACATAAATTATTACAAAATTAACACTATAAAAATTTACTTTAAGAATATCTTCTAAACTTTGTTTTTCAAAGGATCTAACCTTGTTTATAATTTCTTAAACATTTATAAGTCTTAAAATCTGCCTTAACCTTAAAAAAAAAAAACAAACCCCCAAAACAAAAAAGTAACAATCACCCCTTAAATTTGCAGTCCCCCTCCCCCCCAAGACGTAAATTAACCAGGATATAAGTGCACTTTTAACACTGGGGGAAAAAAAATGAAATAATTCAACCAATGTCCTGGTGCTTAATATCAACTCCTGACTTTAAAAAAAAATCTTCATTTTATATTTAAAAATTTAAGAATCCTGTAAGAAACACTGTCAGTGCAATTCCATTGACAGAAATCACTCCTTTTGCCTCCCATCTCTGCAGATTCCAATTCCGTGGTGAAATTTGACAGTAGTCTGATCTTTGGGTTGGGAGAAAAGGAAGGGGAAGGAAATCTTTGGGGAGGGAGAGGGGGTGTGCCCAGCTGCAGAACTAGCATTCACTTCTGATTTCAGGATGGCGCAGGACGTCTGGCAGATCAAAGTGGAACACCTGTTCCGTGTTGTGAATTCTCTTTCTGATTCCCCATCAGAGTTTAATGGTCCTGCTGTTTCTTTCAAAACTCCAATGTGGACAGCTTAATAGCTGCGATGCTCTGGTGCCTCCCGCCCACGCCTCTTCTCTACGCGTGTCCTTGCCAGCTCTGGACTCTCTGAGTTGGGGCACCTGATGGTGGAGTGCAAGCTTATCTAAGGTGTGGGTGTGCAACCAGTGATATTTCCTATTCCCACAAGGGGTTTGGCACAAAAAACTCCATGCAGACTTTTCTCTGGAGGACCCTTCCTGGCCCCCAAACCTTCCTGACATCTGGGGAACTTTCAGGAGCTATGGTCACTGTGCCACCTCATGAAGTGGCTTTCCTAGGTCCTGTGGGCTTTCTGTCTCTGGCTGACCCAGCTTTAGGAAACTGCACTGAGCCCTGGGAAGGACTCTTCATAGCATATTCCAAACAAGCTCTGACCATCACAGTCATCGGGTTCCCACCATATTCCCTTCCTCTCAGGTCCCTTCTGACCTGGTGCGTCTTTTCTGCACAGCTGGGCCTGGGCATTGAGCAAACCACATCATTAAAGGGTCACTGTCCTCACTTTCGTGGCTGGCATTTGGCTCTGGACAAGGAGAGGCGCAAGAAACAGTTGAAGGTCCACCCTCAGCCCCTCGAAGCAACTCCAAGCCCAGGCTCCTCCCAGCAAGTGGTCCAGGGCTGCAGTGGGAGCCAGGAGCTTCTGACGGCCACTGGAGCACAGTTGAAAGGGAGGGCGGGGTGGGAAAGGACTTGGGAGAGAATGAACTCTGAAAGCGCTAAAGTTCAAGAGCTTGTGGGTGCCAACCTGGAACCGGAACCCGGAACCGGAACCGACAGTCTGCAGCCTCTGTTCTCAGGGCAGGAGCAAAATGACGGTGCACTAGCAGCATCAGGAGGAAGGGGAGTAACCCCAAATGTGGAAGAATGTATAAGACGTGACAAATGAAAAAACAGAGAGAAAACACTGTTTTCTGTAAATCTCAAATTTAGGTTCTTTTGCCTCATTTTTTTTTAAAACTAAAAATCCATGTAAAAAAAGAAAGGCCATAGCCACAATCAGCGACCAGGAAACACTCCCCCACAGGCCAGCGCCCTCCCATCTCCCAACTTAGTCTCCTGGGGAGGATGTCAGCCAGGACTGGTTGGAAGTGGCTTCACCATCTTGTTAGGGAAGAGTCCTTATCCTGCCCATTCTGCTTGTGTTCTTCTAGGAAAGAAGAGAAAAACTTGTCTCATTCAGGGTGATCCATGAGAATCCAGGAGGGAACCTCCGTTTTCTTGCATGTCACAGGATGGAAAAGAATCCACTAGCTGGACAAGGCTAAGAAGAGCAGTCATACTTTGTAACTAAGGATGGCTATACTCCTTGTTTGTCACAATAGCTCCATGGAGAGAAACATGGGGACAAGTGCAAGGGCTTCGTGGGACCTCTCCTGGATGAAGGGCTGGATAGCTACATGGTTTTTTTATTCTCATTTTTATTGGTTATTTTTCTCCCTATGTAACATAAATGACACAATTAGTTACCTAATGAAGGCATATAGCCCTGGGTTAAACCAAGAGGTTTTGGAGATTTGGGGTGCACATGACTAATCTCAGTGTGGCCATCTTCACTTAACAGCTGAGTACAACCTTGTCCCTCACAAGTCTCTACCTGCTGCTTGTATTTTCTACTCCCTCTAAGAGGCACAATTGCCTCCCCGCCTTTTCCTCAGGCATGCGCACACACTCCTTTGGAGATAGTCACTCATCTCTGGGCTTACACATTGATTACTGTTACTCCTCCAAGTTAATCAAAATCACTGAAAGTCTTTCTGAATGTTCCCCCTGTGAACACTGAGTGGTAGCTACAGTTCACTGGGGTCTTGGAGAAGGCAGTGGCCAACACGAGCAACGCCCTTCTGCTAATTTATTTCACTTTCATGATGTCCTTAGGAGGTGGTATCAGTGTGTCAGATAACAAACTGAAAATGGACACCTATTGAACCAATTTGCAGACATCACAGAGCTGGTAATAACAATCATAATAGCTAACCCTTAACTTTGCTAAGTGCCAGAGAGTTTACATGAATAAACTAATTTAATCCTCACATAGGTCATAGGACCTTAGGGACCATCATGACCCCCATTTTATAGAGGAAGATATGGAAGAAGAGAAGTAAAATTTCAAGGACCCATAACCAATAACTAGAAGGTCCATGTTTCGAAGCCAGGTTATCTGCTCTGCTGGAGGTGAGACTTGAAGTAGGCTCCAACCCAGTGCACTTCTGACTGGCCTGATGTTGGCTCTATGTGGTTCCTCCCACTCCTAGAAACTTACCTGTCGGTTGTGTCCTGGGCTGGATATGCTTGAAGGACTGGATTGTGACAAAGCTAGGCTGCTATTTTTTCCAACCTGAAAGACACCATGAACCCCCATTCAGACACCGAGGCAACTTGGGAAAGACCCTCTGACGCCATATGTTGTCAGGGCAGAGGAGCAGGGCAGTGCCACATGCCTTCCTCCCTTGATTACTCAGAGTGGATGCTTCCGACTTAATAGCAGGAAAAGGGACAACAGTTTATGGGGACTCTGGGAATGTCTCTCTCCTGGGGGGGGGGAACAGTGGTAGGAGCTCTTAATTCCACTCCTCAGAGGTGCATACTGCGGGAGGAAGAGTCTGCCACTCTGTAGCTCAAGAGCCCACAAGCTCGTGCACCTCTGACCACAGTGCAGGCCACCCTACTCCTAGCCCTGGCTCCTCAGGTGTGCCGTGGATAAAGTAGCGTATCTGTCTGCCTAAGACGTCCAGCATTCAGCCTCTTTTTCTTCAGAAAACTAGTTATCCGGTTGGGCTGCCCTTGCATGTGCAGGGAAGGGGGAGGGTACTTTGCCCTGCTTGGCAGGGTCTCTGACCTGGAGACACATATGACCTCTCTGTGGTACAGTCCTTGGCCCCAGGTGAGGTGGGCTCCGAGGAGAGCTGATGCCAGGCTCTGGTCACATGGTTCCAGCTCATTTGCAAAGGCGGCCCTTGCCCCCAGCCTCTAAACGGCTCCTCCACTGTCTTCGTTTCCCCCTTGGCACAGAGGCAAATGCCTTTCACTCACAGTACTGTTTTGTGTCCAGTTGAATACCTTGGTGGAAATTTTTGGCCTTTTACTTCCCAGATACAATTAGGAGAAGCTGCAAGTTCTCTGCAAGGCACACACAGTTTCATTTTGAATTTCTTTTTGAGACAGGGTCTCGTGTAGCCCTGGCTGGCCTGGAATTCACTTTGTGGCTGAGGATGATCCTCCTGCCTCCATCTTCCCAGTGCTGGGATGACACATGGGCCACCATACCTGGCTCTCAGCTTAGCTTTCCTCTCTGTGTTCTAACAGAACCAACACAGTTGCCAAAGGCCTTTCCTTTTCCTAATCTTGGAAATGCCCAGTGATGGCTCCAGCCACGCCTTTCCTCAGCTGCCTGGTGATAAGCATTGAGCTATTTATTACGGTGCTGGGGGTTGGGTGCAGCCTGGCCTGCAGGCTGCTGTCAAGACTCCTGGTGAGCACTCTCAGGGGAGGCTTATCTGCTCTTCTGCTGCCAGTTCCGCTGACTCACCACGCTGACTAAGCATTTCAGACAGTCTGAACGCCAACAGGCCAGCACTCAACACACAGGCACTTCAGACTTGACAGGAAGGGCCAAGAGCCCATAGTCAACTCCTTGGTTTGAATCCCTGCCCCACTATTCACTTGCTCTGTGATTATGGGAAACTCACGTAACCTTCCTATGCCTTGTTTGGCTCATGTATAAAATGGGTTAATAACAGGTTAGGTATTGAGTTCCTGGATCACAAGTGTTTCGGGGACAGGGACCATCAGTTACATGCAGTCATCCAGTAGAACTTTATCTAAAATGAGGAAAGCAATATGACTATGGTACAGCAGGGGAGGTCAGCAGGCCAGTGGAGTGGCCCTGTCTAGCCACTGTTGGAAACATCGACTCCATGGTCTTACTCCCAGTCTGCTCCCCCTCAGTCTGCCTTTCCACAAGACCCCCAGTGTATCTGTGGGTATACATTCCAGTATAAGAAGCTGTGTGTGCCTCCTTCTGAGTCTACAGAAGAGACTGGCTAGCAGTTTGGTCTCCGGGTAGGATCTGGAGGGCCAGCTATATGTGACACTGGAGGACCCATGTCTCCCCTTGGCCAAGGCTGCAGCTGTCTGGCCTTTGCTCATGTGTGTGCTTGTGAGTCCCCCTCAGGAGGTGCTCTCCTTTGGGGTTTGGCTAAGTGTCATATATGGTGACACAAAACATTAAAGCAGTGGTTCTCAACCTGTGGGTCTTGACCCCTGGGGGGGTCAAACAACCTTTTCACAAGTGTCACATATCAGATATTTACATTATGAGTCATAAAAGTAGCAAAATTATAGTTATGAATAGCAACAAAAATAATGCTGTAGTTGGGGGTCACCACAACATAGTGAACTGTATTAAAGGGTGGAGCAGCATTAGGAAGGTTGAGAACCACTGCATTAATGCATATCCTATCTCTCCTAAGTTCCCATCCCTAAAGGGGGCTGGCCTTAGGGTCTGATCGGTTAGCTCCATGGTGATAAACCTGGGCTACCCTTCTAGAAGGGCGGCTCTCAAAGCCCACACGGAGCAGGCTGAGGAACCTGGGGTCCTTCCCTCCGGCTCTCCCATTCAGTGAGCCCAGAGTAGGAGAAGGCTGTCATCAGTATTCTCCCAGTTGGAGGAGACAGCCTGGATTTAGGGAATGGGAACAGAGTCCAAGGAAAGATCCAGCTATTCGTTGGCCATCCACATCTCCCAACTTTCCCTACAATGTACACTCCTGTGGGTAACCTGGCACTGAGTGCTTTTTTTGCTTCTGGGTGAAAGGGACAGTTTTGCTTTAGGAAGGGAGGGGGCTAAGGCAGCTTCATCAAGTGAGGACAATCACCTGGAAGCTGGGTGCTCAGGCTGCCACTCTCCAGGGGGAACCTGACATCACTTAACCAGCCTGGGTCTCAGGCTCATCCTGAGGGGATCCAACAGATCAGATCAAACTTCTTAGCAACAAAAGTCTTTAATGAAGTAGTCCTCAGAACCTCAGGCTATGAAACAGACAAAAGGAAGGGGGAGACTCACAGCCTCTTTGTGCCCCAGTTTTTACCCATCTGTAAAGCGATGACCTTTTGTAACCCCTGTGCTGAGTTGGTATGAGGACTAAAGGAAGTGATTACTGTAAAGTGTTTATCGTAGGGATAGCAAAGTGAGGGTCTAACCAAGAACTCTCAGAGCAGAGGGTGAGCATTGCCTATGGGGAACCTGGGAAAAGGAGCCATGCTTACGTTACCTGCCTGAGCCACCTGGCCAAGCAGGGGCGCTGCCCAGCTCCCCCTGCCCCCCAGAGCCGATGAAGGCAGTGCCAGGAGCTCCCTTACCTGCCGAGAGGAGGTGCTGTTAACGGGATCGGGCACCGGTGCAAGAAGGCTGGGTGGGTTCTTTTTGTGAACACTATTCATACCAGGCATTTTAGTGATCTTACAGGCTTTGCTACTAGGACTTGAATTCTTACGCTTTTTTCCTTCTGATTTGTCAAAAGAGAGGGGCAGAGAAGACACAGCATTGTGTGAGGCCAGAGAGAGGTCCCCTGCGTGGAGTGCAAGGGAGGGCACGGAGAGGGGACAGGGGCCACTGCTGCCACCCACAGCGCCCACCTGTCTCACTATGTCCATGGGGCTGCTGGGCAGCGAGGTCCGTCCTGAGGGCTCCAGCTTGGCACTGAGAGGGCTCACCCCGTTATTTGAGTTGTGCACAGACAGGCTGTTATAGGGAGGGGCTGCCTGATAGGAGTTCAAGGAGGAACTGGCATTCAGAACACAGTTCTTTTTGTGGGGCCCTGACAACGGAGACGAGAAGGAAGCCTGCAAGGACAAGGAGGAGGGAGTCGAAGACTGTGGCTTCCTCTTTTTGTTACTTGGAGATTCGTCGCTACGAGCTGATAGGTCTTTGACTTTTGAGGATTTGCTGGTTTTGGTTTTGGATGGCTTGTGGGATGGGGAAGGAATGGCAGCTGGTACCGGGGACACAGCGGATGGGGCCTTGAAGGTTGAGTCCATGATGCTGAGGGTTGCAGCCACATGGGGGAAAGCTGTGGTGTGGGACATGAGGACACGTGGGTCCGGCGATGCCACGAAAGCTGCGTCTGAGAGCATGGCTGATGTCATTATGTAAGAAGAGGTGAGTCTCGAGCTGATGGGAGCTGAAGGAAGGTACACAGCACTGGGGTTGCTGAAAGGCTGCAAAACGGATGCTGGAACAGGGGTGGTGATGTGGGCGGCTGGCGAGGGCATGGGGCTATCTGCCGCAGGAGGGATCTTCCTAAACACGAGAGAAGAGCCAAAGAGAGACAGTGAGACGCTGGGTCGGCATCGCCCAGGAGGCCGGCTGAGCTTTGATCGGCAGGGCTACAGAGGACACCCGGGAGGACCAGACTATGGAGAATGAAGCCTTGGAGGATGGTGAGGTCTGAAGGATGGCCCTTTCCTACGCTGCCCACTAAAGCGACATCAGCATCTGTCTTCACACCTCAGAGCCTCTTCTCTACGCTGAGTGACTGAAGACTGGCTGATGTGGGGTCCTGAGTAAAAGGCAGATGCTATTCAGACTATAAACACCCTGAGCAGCCTCCCCCACCTCACACTGCTGGCAGTGATGGCTGTGGTTTTCAATGAGGACAAAAGGCCTTGGCCACCTGGCTATGTCCCTTCTGCTCATGGCTACCTCTTCTATTACTCTTTCCCATGCAACTTTTGGCTGGAGATATTTTGAAAAAAGCCATCTCCCCACTTGTCAGCATCCTCTTGTGTTTGCTACCTCAGGCCTCTGGCTGCTCTGCAGAGAGGCATTTCCATCTTAGCTCGTGGCCACTGGACTGTGGTCGCCACGGAAAGTGACATCAGGTTGCTCTCTCCCTCACTCTGCTTCAGTGGGGTTGGCACAGAGCTGCCCTTCAACAAGTCCTCCTGTTCCTGGGCAGGGAAAAGGCGACAGTCCTGGACCCATGCGTCCAGAGGGGACCAGGCATTTAGGTGAGGGATAAGGGCAAAAGCCCAGCATGTGAACAGGGGCTGCTTCCTTGGAACTGATGGGGGATGGTACCTGAGGGCAAAGTCCATGGGCCAATGCCGGTACCGGGCAGGGTATCATTCTTAAGTCCTCTGCATACTTTTTTTTAGACAGAGTCTCACTATGTAGCCCCAGTTAGTCTTGAATTTGTGGTCTTCCTGCCTGCCTCAGCCTTGTAAATGAGGAATTATACCTATGTGAAGCATCTGTCCATAAAACCCTCTGCCTTTTGACTTCTGTAGTATATGGCTCTGTTTCCATCTTATGGCTTAGATCCACGCTGCCGCTACTCTTGGGACCGGGAGGTGGGGGGTACAGCACCTATGGGATCACAGCCCGCTCCTGATTTTAAAAGAAATGAGTGATGTTAGGAGCCAGAAAATGCTTTCTTATTTTGCAGGGCTCTCTGCTTGTTCTCCAGTGTGTTTTCAGGAGCTTTCCTTCTCTGAGGTAAGCTCCTTCTCTCAGGAGGTAAACTTGAAGCAGAAGGCAGGCAGGCCTCCCGCCGTCCCTTCTGCTCTGCAGGACTTCTGCAGCCCAGAAGCAACCCTCTCCTGCATCCCCTCTGAAGAGCATGGTCTGCCACTTGCAGTAGATCCCGCAGCCTCCACCGCTAGAGTGGGATCCAGCTGCATCCTTGAGTACAGAGGCTCAGTGATTTGAAACCGCCCGACCAAGGAGATCACACAGAAAAGTGCTGCCAACCCACAGTGGCCACGATGGTGTCCAAGACCTTCCTTCCTCTCCAGCCCACGGGACATCAGAGCTCTTGTCAGCACTAAACAAGATGCTGCACAGATAGATACTGGCTGCAATGAATGAATGAGTGTATGGACAGATGGATGAAGGGGCGGTGAATGGGAAAGCAGGTGATCTCAACAGCAACACAACTGTATTGTCGGGGACTATGCATGCTGGGCAGGGATTCCCACGGAGGCAGACCATGGAGGTCTGCACACCTCCTTAGAACTGTCTGGCCCTGCATAACCCTTTCCTGCCGGGGCGAGAGCACATTCTTGGAGGCACTAGCAAATTCCTTGCTGTCTTTGTTTCCCTACTGTGGTGCTGCAGGTGCCCCCCCCCCCCACGTTCTCACCAGCTAAATTCAGAGGAACAGACAGAGTGGTAGAAGTTTGACTAAGACTTGTAATAAGGGTAATTTACAAGTACCAGATAGTTCATTCACTTAAGGGGGGGGGGGGGGCTTCACTTCGGGACCTTGAATGAGATACATCTTAATGTCCAAATTCATGTTTTTCTCATTAAACAGTATACATACTTCAAATTGTGCAGACAGGCAGAATTGAAGTTCTAAATCTTACTCTGCCCCTGCTCAAGATTGCAATGGCTGCTACTTCTGGTATATTTTCTAGACCCTTCTTTCTTCTCCTCTCCAGAAGTGGGAGGCAGGGCTGTCCCTGCAAGCCTTTCCCGTGCTAACCGGTTTCGGTGTTTCCTAGGTGCCCAATGGCAGCAGGTGTCCCCTTTGATGGGCCGCCTGACTCAGGCTTTGCACACTGGCCTACAGGAAGTCCCGTATAAAAGCCCAGAGATGTGAATGAATTCCTGACAGCTCCCATCCTCCCCTGCCAGCTGGCGTGGAGATCCAGATGCTGACCTGGCTGAAAGAGAATACTGTGTTGGCGTCTCCTGATGCAGAGTTAAATGCTTGTTAAAGAAAAAAGAGTCTTGGCCGTTCCTTTTCTTCCTAATGTCTTCCATGCCCCCATCGGCTGCCATCCCTCCAGGTTCGGGCCCGTCAGGGCCTGGAGTTTGGGCAGCGAGGTTGAGAGGGCAGCGGGGTGCTACGCTCTCCAGAGTTGACACCCAGGCAGCCCCAATGTTGCTCAGTGACAGCAGATTGGTTAGGCAAGTCCTGAACAGAGGGGAGGGACCTGATGCCCTGTGGCTCGGGCTTCTGTGCCTGAGGAGGAAAGGAATATGGAGCTTGAGCTGACAGTACACCAGCGAGCGAAATACAGATCAACACATTCCTTCCACGTGCCAGGGATTCACACTTCTATAACACAGGAGACCAGAGAGCTGGGAGAATCACCAGGGCTGACTGCCATATTTGGAAGCTAATGCAGAGGGCCAGGTCATCAAATAACCATGAACTATGTAATCCCTATGCAGGACTTTTTAGATTTTTAAATGCATACAAACAGAAACTAATGATGCCCTGTAGACAAGCAGGGTAGTCACTCACATGGGAAGACATGATAAGCTTCTCTTGTGGCCCTTTCCTAGTTAATATAGCAACATCTGTCTTAAGTCCCCTGTGAGTCCCCTGTGAGAAACAAGGGGGCTCGGGTCTATGTGGGCTGAGGTGACAGAGATGCCTTGGAAGAGGAGCAGGCTGTAGGTGAATTTCCTTTGTTTCTCAGGATGCCCGTGGCCTCTCCTGGGCCTCACTGTGCAGGCTCAGGGTCTCAACTGTTCTGGGGCCCTAGTCTGACATGATCCATCCCTCTAGTGGAGTACATGCCTAAGCTCCTTTAGGAGGAGCATGGGGTGGGGACACTCAAGGTTGGCCATGGTGGAGAGGGTCCAGGCCCTACTGTTCCTTCTGAAGAGCATTCTAGGGTCCTCCCCTCTCATTACGTCCCCTGTAAAGTGTAGGTGCACTGGGAAATGTCGTAAACAATGGATAATAAGCTGGAGGTTAGAGGAAGAGAAGAGGTGAGGGAGGGCCCTGGGGAGACGGGAAGGGCCAAAGACAAACTTAACCAGTGTCACAACACTGTTCAGAATCTGCCCTTTGGGCAACTGTATATAGTTTCTAATGAGGACAGCAACTAGGTAGAAATTGGTTTGTAACCATTACGGAATTTTGCTATTACTCCTGGACCATTAACATCACAAACAGAAGCACATTCTTAACACCTTTAAACAATCTGAGTAGTGATTAAAAACAACAACAACAAGAAAAAAAAAGAAACAGCAAAGGCCTATAATCCTACGGAATAAACAAGATCTTACCTAAGATCCTTTTCATTTGGTTGAGAAGGCTACCAACACAACAACCATCTCCCAAGAAGATAAAGCAAACAGCACATTACAGGTATTCTAAAAAGTTGTTAATTAGAACTGACATTCAGAATCAATCAGGAATCCTGATTCAGGTTCATTTTGGTCTACAGCAAGCCGAATGCTGAAGCTTGTCTACGGGGCCAGGGCTCAGGTAATGGCAGGGCAACTCTCAACTTTTATCACAAAGAAAGTGCTCACTTACTTCCACATCTGTGAATTCAAGTGTTTCTCTACCATGGAGTTCAGTGCGAGCCGAAAACGATCCCATCTTCTATCAAATACGTAGTACCCTCGTCCCATGAGGCGGCTCCCAAATGAGCAGAACTACGAGGGGAAAAAACATTTTAATTTTGATTACAGGTTAATAAGCTAATATAAAGCACACAGAGAAAAATAACATTTGCATAAAAACACACAGGGGTACAATTTTACTCAAAATAAAAATAAGCAACTGGTATCGAAGCCAAAAATGTTTCTATGATGCTGTAGTTTGCGCCCTGGATTCTCAGCAGAACCTCACATTTAAGGCAGTGACTGCGCCCTCCAGTTTCCTGTGGTGTGAAGAGCCACACTCTTTACTTCTGAGAGGGAGCCAGTATTTCAGGATAGAAAACAAGAGTACAACCACATCCAGAGAGACTCTGCAGCTCTATCCACTCACCATGCCACCCGCTATCTCTAGGAACCTGGTGCTCCCTGCCTCCATTCCAGGAAGGAAAACGGATGTCTCTTCCCGTCTGATCCACAGAACCACTTCCTTCCCCCCAGGAGTTGCCTTTCCATGCCGATCCCAACGCATCCGCACTAACTATTTTATTTATTTTATGTGCTTTAGTGTTTTGCCTGCATGTATGTCTGTGTGAGGGGGTCAGGTCTTGGAGTTACAGACAGTTGTGAGCTGCCATGTGGGGATGGGAATCAAACCTCCTCTGGGAGCGCAACCAATGCTCTTAACCGCTGAGCTATCTTTCCAGCCCCTAAAACACTTTCATTGTTGTTGTTTTGAGGAGGTCTCACCCTGGTTGTCCTGAAGCTCACCGTGTAGACCTCGAACTGGCCTCGAACTCACAGTGATCCACCTGCCTCTGCCACATCTGCACTCCTTATCAGCTCTTACCCGGTCCCCTCTGCCTGCTGTCTCCCTCTTTGGCAATTATGATCTTACCTCCCCTTGGACGCCTAATGTATAATTCGCACTGACAATGGCCTCATCTGACTAACTGCACCTCCCACTGTGGACACATGACGCATCTGCTATATATCACACTACATTTCACTTAGACACATGTCTTAGTCATAATTACATGTGATGGCTATCAAAGTTTAAAGCGTGGGGACTTCATTCTCTTCCTCCTCGGTATAAGGATCATTGAGATTAGGAATAAAAAAAAGGATTCAGGAAGCTGAGGTACAAAGATTAATAGTTCAAAGGCAGCCTGAGCTACACAGTGAGAGCATCTAAAAAAAATTTTTTTTTTTTAATTTTTAAAGTGGATTTGGGGAGAAAAGTTTCCACAGAAATGTTTAAAATAAATCACTGCATTTAAAACTCACGAATATCGGGGATTTAGTAAACATTGATCATAAGGTAGGATGGCAGTGGACAGAAATGTAAGGAGCAGCCTCTGGGAAGGGGACATTTGCTGGGTCCAGAGCTCAGGGAAGCCTGCAAATGACTATAATTCATATGGCACCTTACCCATCCCCTAGGCCTCTAGCAGCTCCCTAGACACAAGCCCAGACTCAGTGCTGGACTGGCCCCCGTTCCACAAACGCATCCTGGAACCAGCCTCTGGAACCCTTCTCAGGAGGAGCTGCGAGGTCTTCCCTTGGTTCTGTTTCTGCTCGAGTTGGGGATGGGGGTTATAAACCTTGCTACCCACAAAATCTGATACTGCAAATTACTGACTACAGCAACTTCTTACTGACCAAGGAGGAAACCATACATGGTAATTCTTCAGTACAGAAGCTGGCCTCCACATCTGCGAGGGAGCTGTTCCTGGTGTGGCCATACCTTCTCTCTCATGCCAGTTGCTAAGGACACATCGAGCAAGGGTTTATTACAAAAAAAAAAAAAAATGATTTAATGTGTCAGTTGGCCATGAGAAAAAAAAGACAAAGCAAAGAAACAAACCCATGGTTTTTCCATTTTAATCAGCAAAACATTAAGGGCCTATGAATGCCCTGTGAATGTGGCTAATCTTCTACAGCAGCCCTGTGGACAGATGTTCTATGTTCTCCAGAGCTGGAAGCTGGAGGCCCCTTTGGTTTTGGCTACCAGTGTATCTAACAGCACTTAGACGCAGGCCAGACATGGAGGGAAGCTGGCCCTGTGTGTCTTCACTGGGGCAGACCTTGCTGCTGCTGTCCTCATCTGCAGTGTCCTGCCTCATCGGGCCTGTCTGGCTGCTCACACAGCCCCACTTCTGACTCCACATCTTATGTGCAGCAGTAACAGAGAAGATGTGTCTCCTCCCAGACCTGGGAATGAGGCCCAGCTCAGTCACACTCCTTTCCTTCTCTGCCAACTGCTGGTGCAGCCGTCTGCTGGGGTTTCCTGGGCAGCTCTTGTTTTGTAGATGAAGAAAACATAGCATCTTAGAAGACCCCTTTTCCAGTGTGTCCCCTTCCTTCCTGTTTAGAATGTCACTAGGTACAGATGTGACACTGGAGCTGTGGTGGGTGTATTAAAATGTGAACAGCAAAAATATTTATGGACATAGTAGGTAGAGAGGTTAAACCAAGGTTGTACGGGCACCTTCCTCTAGACTTCTTGCTATGTGAGATAATGAAATGGTCCCTGTATGAATATGGAGGCACTGGGTTTTTCACAACTGCAGGCAAAATCATTACAACTGATTCCTCACTAGTTCTGTACTGGCAAAGTCTCAGGTTATAGGTGAGCCATAGGTCACCATCATCTCCAAAAAGGGGGAGTGGTATACACGGAGGAGAAGAGACTAGCCTTGTCTTCTGGCAGGATGAGATTAGAGGCAATCAGAGCTAATCAATCCTTCAGGCTCAGGCAAGTACCAGAACAAACCACCATGGAGGTCATATTCCCAGGGCCCCAGCGTTGGGGTCTATGGTTGTCACACCTTTCTCTGAGGGTGGTAAGGCCAACGTGAACAAGCTTCCAGCGATGCCTTGACTTCCCCTTCTGACGTCAATGACCATCTGAACTGTTAGTGAGCAGCCATGCTGGCGTGAAACACGCCCTCCCACCAGATCTGCTGCCAAACAACCGTCAAAGAGCCATCGGGAGAACGACGGAAGCTGAACCCGAGTTGCTGCTAAGACCGCTTCCAGAGCAGGTGCGTCTGGCTAACGCCTGACCGGACGCTCTGTTTGCAGATGTGCAGAGGCAGGTTGGTTACCAGGGCACTTACACAGACACCATTTTTCAAGCATTTTTAAAGGATTAGAGCCAGTGGGGAGTCCCTCCCTGTCCTTCCGCACTCACGGGCATCTCTGATGACACTCTACTCGGGAGACACACAAGGGAAGGGACAGAGGCCTACCGCAAGAGGTCTGGGGTGGTGTGTGGAGAACTGACAGTCTAACTTCTCGGCTTCGTCGGCTCCGTCCATCTCCCCTTCATCACTGGACAGTCGGCTGGCAAGGTCACCTGCAGCTGGGGGCAGAGGGGGCTCCGGAGTGTAGCCGCTGTGATTTGAAGATGTACTGCTGCTTATGCTGTTGGCAGATGACGGTCTAAGGGTGAGCGGGAAGAACACGTGTCAGTCTTCTGGAGGAAACCAGGTCTGCCTAGTTCATGCCACGAAAGAGCAACCCAGCCACGGTGTCAGGAACCGTGGGCCAACGGCAATTTTCTAGAAGGGAAAAATTAAGCCTCAAGGGTCGACAGCTCTCTACAGCAGCCCACTGGAGTTAGGTGCTTGCCCTCTGGCTTGCTGCCTGGGGTACAATACAAGCCCGAAAAACTCAAGTGCAAGCAGAGGGGCTATGACCTGTGAGCTGATCCAGAGCCTGTCTTCTCTGAGTTCAGTGACAAATGCTCCCCAAGACCAAGTGTTACCAGCATTTTGCCTTATATCCTTCCAGACTTCCCTAGTTTGCAAACATGATTTAAAAAAAAAAAAAATGCCATTTTTAAGCAAGAACAGCATTTGAGACAGGATCTCGTGTACTCCAGGCCTTGAACTCACAATGTAGCCAAGGATGACCTTGAACTTCTGAGCCTCATGCCTTTACCTCCGGAGTGCTGGGGTCATAAACGTGCACCACCATGCCCAGTTGATGCAGTGTTGGGGATCAAAGTCAGGGCTTCACGAATGTTCGGCAAGTGTTCTACCAACTGAACCACACTCTACCCCAGCCCTCTAGACAGATGTATTTGAAAAATTGTTATAATTTTATTGTATGTGTATGAGAATTTCATCTGCATGTATGTCTGTTTGTCACTTGTGTGCCTTGGTGCCTGAGGAGGCAGGAGGAGAAAGCTGAATCCTCTGGAACGTGAGTTACAGGTGGTTGCAAATTGCCATGTGTTTGCTGGGAACTGAACACTGATCCTCTGGAAGAGCAGCCAGTGTTTTTAACCACTGAGCCATCTCTCCAGCCTGAACATGTTTTTAAACTTAGTGATGTAGAAATCCTTTTGGGTATTATGTCATTTTTAAATATCCTCCAGTAACATTCAATATTGACATATCACAATCTATGTAGCTAATCCTAAACATTTGTGTCCAAACTTCCTTGAAAGGCTCTTAGGTAGCAGTTCAGCCCATCATGGCAGGACCTCCTTGTCCTGCAGGATAAAAGTGACCTAAATTTTGCTAATTGCATTTTGGTTATACAGAAAAATAGCTTTATTTATTTATTTATTTATTTATTTATTTATTTATTTATTTATTTATTTATTTAGAGACAGGGTCTCTATGTAGCCCTGGTTGGTCTAGAACTTTCTATGTAGACTAAGTTGGCCTCAGACTAATGAAGAGCTGCTTGCCAATGCCTCTGAGTGCTGGGATTAAAGACTTATACAACCATGCCTGGCAAAACGTGTACCATAAGCTGGCCTTGAACTCACGATCCTGCTGCCTTTTCAACCTGTCCTACTGGTATGTGCCAGAACAACCAGCTACTGTCAGTTTTGAAAGAAGTCTTTACATTGAAACAGCATAGTCTATGTAATTCAAAGGACACTAACAAAAATGCATTACAATAAAACTGCAAAATATTAATATAACAACTGTTAAAATGAGGTTAGGCAAGTATTCATCAATTTATCGCTGCTTTCCAGCATGTAGGGGAATTTTCATTAAAAAATCGAAAACAGAAATGAAAAGAGAGCCAGCAGTGCTACCATATAGGTAAGAAAGGGATTGAAGAATGTCTTGTTTTCGTCTTTTTATTTTTTCTCAGTTTTAGAGATATATTACAGTAACAGGGTCTCATGTAACCCAGGCTGGCCTTGAACTTGCTGTGTAGTGGAGGATGGCCGCAATTGTCCTCTTGCTACCCAGCTAGTGAATGGAAGACAGGCATGGGCTACCACACCCTGCCATATGTGTATCTTGTGAAATTATTTCACAATTATTTCAACCAAGTTAGCTTAAAAATTAACAGACCTATCATTTCTTAGAGTTAGCCCCTCCCACGGTCTACTAGGGTTTGAACCAGGGCTTTGTGGAAGCTGGAGAGTGCTCTGACAGTGAGCTGTAATGCCAGTCCTCCTTTTCAGCTGTATTCTGAGGCCATTTCACTAAGGCTGGCCTTGAACCCACTGTGCAGCAGCAGGTCTTGAGCCTATGGTTTTCCTGCTGAGGATGACCTTGAACTCCTGCCTCTCCTGCCTCTACCTTCAAAGTGCTAGGATAACAGGCATGTACTGAGAACTCTCCCTCCAGAACTGCACTGTTTTTTTAGGTAGATTCTCCTCACTATGTAGCCCAAGCTATCCTCGAAGTCACAATCCCCCTGGCACAGCCTGTGGACTGCTGGGATTGTAGACGCACACAGCTACACCTGGCCCGAAATGTCTTTAGTATTCACTCATACGCAGACACTTGGCTTGTTTTCGTATCTTGGCTATAGTGAATGATTCTGCAATAAACACCAGCATGTAAAGAGCTTCCATTAAATGAGGTATAGAACTACGGTCATTCACCAACTTCCTCCCCAAATTCCACAACAAAAACAGAGCAGCAGGAAGATGGTGGCGGCTACCCCGAATCCATGTGGGCTCTTTTTAACTGTGTCTACCAATGACTGGCTTAGAAAGGGTCACAGGAAATCAAAGAACAATTAGTGTGTGTGTGTGTGTGTGTGTGTGTGTGTGTGTGTGTGTGTACATGTGAGTTGCACGTGCTCAAATGATGGGGCTGGAAGAACATAGGAATGTCTGTCACTTCAACTCAATTTTCCTATAAACCTAAAACTGCTTTAAATATACATGATATTTAAAAGAATGAGTGAAGAATACATATGGAAAGTAGTCTCAGCTTCATCTGGACCTTGCAGCTGGATGTACTTGAGATGGTTATGAATCATGCAAAAAGATTCAAAGGATAATGCCCAAGGGACTAGAGAGGGTAAGAGTAAAAAAAAAAAATTTTAAGGAGGGGTGGGGGGCAACAAGGGCTACTGAGATCTGCAGTGGAGAAAAGCACTTGTTGCTAGGGTGGAAGGAGAGAACAGACTCTGTAGGGTTGCCCTCTGACCTCCACATACGAGTTGCCACATACCTCCATCTCGCATGTGCGCACACATGCACACACACACACACACACACACACACACACACACACACCAAGGGGGAGGGGGGAGGGAGTGAGAGAAAGAGAGACCAATATCTGGGATTGGCATCCCCTCATCTGTGGACTCCTTGTCACATTCGGTAAGAATCCTAACGGCAGAAGTATCAGTAGTTCAGGGTTCTGCTCTCTGCACCTGAAGAACCTGAACTGATACAAGTCTGAGCAGATTTTCACAGTTTTGGAAGCCAATGTGGCTGGAGAAGTACTGAGTAGTGGGAAAGGAGCTGACTCGCTGTGGAGCTTCTAGGAACCTACTGAGGGCTGCAAAACCTGTTTATGGCGGGAGGATCAGGAGTTCAAGGCCAGCCAGGGCTACATATTAAGTTCAAGGTTAGCCTGGGGTATATAGTGTAACATCAATAAAGAAAGTAAGTAAGTAAGTAAGTCATAGATGAGGACTATGCATAGCTAAGTAGCAGTTGGCCTCCATACAAGCCTCAACACCACCAGGCCTGGCAGGACACTCTCCCCAGCTCAGTCAACTTTCTAGGGAGAAACAAAGTCAGAGGAAATGAACTGAAGAGGCTGCAGACAGTGGTAGAGCAGAGCACTTGCTTGGCTTGTGAAAGGCCCTAGGTTTGGTCTCCAGCACAACCCGCTCCTCAAACCAAAGCCAGACAAACAAGAAGAGTGGCATCGCTTCAGAGAAGTGACTATCTTGTAAAATAATCAAATAAAAATGAGATAAACTGGGCACAGTAGCATAGGCCTATAGTCCCAGCTATTTAGGAGGCCGGGCAGAAGGATCTTGAGTTGAAGGCCTATAGTGAGACCCAGTGGTGGTTTGAATAAGAATGGCCCCCATAGGCTCATATATTTGAATTCTTAGTCACTAGGGGATGGCACTTGTTGTAGAATATTATTTTAAGAAGTGTTACATTTGTTCATGCTGTGGAACATTAGTTTAATGGTGCATTCTTTTATGTTGCATTTGTTTAACTCTGTGAGGCTGTGTCACTGTGCCTGTCTAAAACACCTGATGGCCTAATAAAAAACTGAATGGCCAATAGCAAGGCAGGAGAAAGGATAGGCGGGGCTGGCAGGCAGAGAGAATAAATAGAAGGAGAAATCTGGGAGAAGAGGAAAAAGCAAAAGAGAAGGAGAGGAGGACTCCAGGGGCCAGCGGGCCAGCGGGCCAGCGGGCCAGCGGGCCAGCGGGCCAGCCACCCAGCCACTGAGCCACACAGCCACACAGCCAGCCACGGAGTAAGAGTGAAAGTAAGATAAACAGAAGTAAGAGAAAGGTAAATGCCCAGAGGCAAAAAAAGGTAGATGGGATAACTTAAGAAAAGCTGTCAAGAAACAAACCAAGCTAAGGCTGGGCATGTATAATTAAGAATAAGCCTCCGTGTGTGATTTATCTGGGAGCTGGGTGGTGGGCCCCCCAAAAGAGCAAAACCAAACAACTACAGGCACTATTTGAAAGGATTGAGAGATGTGGCCTTGTCGGAAGACTTATGTCATCGGGGATGGGCTTTGAGGTTTCAAAACCTCAGGCCAAGCCCATTGTCTCTCTTGGCCTATGGATCAGGACGTAACTCTTAGCTACTCCTTCAGCACCACACTTGCTTGCCACCATGCTTGTTGACAAGATGAGAATGAACTAAACCTCTGACACTGTAAGCAAGCTCAGAATTAAATGCTTTTTTTAATTTTTTTATTTTTTTATTTTTATGAGAGTTGCCTTGGTCATGGTGTCTCTTCACGGCAACAGAACAGTGACTAAGACAGAACCCATTTTTTTTTCTTTTAAATTTTTGTTTTGTTTTGTTTGTTTGTTTGCTTAAGATAGGGTCTCTCTACATGCTCCTGGCTGTCCTGGAACTCACTGTGCAGACCAGGCTGGCCTCAAACTCACAGAGATCTTCTTAAACCTGCCTCCTGTGTTCTAGGATTAAAGGTGTGCACTATCACACCTGGCTGAGATTCAAT